CAACCGTTTCCACGGAAGAAAGATGATCATTCTATCCCTGTAAAGAGTTACAGTGACAGAAACCCACAGGGGCAGTTAGTTCTACCCTTCCTGATAGGGAAATGAGTTAGAACTGACATAATGGCAATGACTTTTTAAATAACCTTATGGAAAATAGCCCTGGTGGTGCTGTTGGGTGAGCTTTAGCTGTTCAAATCCACCAGCTGCTCTCTAGAAGACGAGGCTCTCCCAGGTTTGACTGATCACACTCAGATTGTATGTAGACTTTCTGATTAGTCATCAGATGAATGTTAAAAAAAAAACCAACCTAGAAGTTAGTGAGAAAGCAACAGAGCTTGTATTAATTAAAATTTCTCTCAAATATCCATAATGTCCTCGGGCTTTGGCATATCATAACTACTTAACCTTTATACAGACTCTGAAAGATGGGGCTAGTGCTCCCGTGTTATAGACACACATAACAAAAGACACATCCCTGGATGGCAAATCTCAAATGGAACCATGAACTGTTCAGGGGAAGTTTTAGGTTTTCTACTAAGTCCGAGTTTGAGTGATGACAATCTCCATGGTGGTGAAAAGATTGGAGAGAGAGACAGAGAGAGAGAGTGTGTGTGTGTTTTGAAAAGATGGAAATCAAATGTGTGTTAGCAGATTTGTTTGATACTTACACAATTTGAAAGGAATCTCCTGACACAGAAATAGCGACTGATGAATTCTAGACGTGCTTGGAATGGGTGTGTGCTCTGGATTAACCAACAAATGAAAGTATGAGCATTGTGAAAACAGGAGTAATCACTCCACCCACTCTATGCAACCTGTGCCAATTGTGATGCTTCCTCTGGAAGACTTTCTGGGTTTTGTGGGCATGGAGAATAATGCAGACCATTATTTGTTATGAGGAAAACTGGCGAGAGGTTACAGTATGGATTTATCTGATAGTTGATTTTCAAAAGTCGAGCGATGCATCTGTTAAATTTTATATTTTTTGGAAATTTATTTGAAAATTGGACAGAGCTCATAACAGGATTTGACCCAACGGGTACTTTGACTAGATTATTGAACAGCATTAGCATTTGCAAATAAATTCCTTTTTAACAAATACTGAAGTATGTACGCATGGGAAAATACCCTATGAAACCTTTATTGAGCTTTGAGTCCGTTTGGAGTTTTGTGGTTCTTCTTGTCTCCCCCTAGCCCCCATCTTTATTTCCTTTGCATTTTCTGAGGTTCGGTGGGCAGGATCCACCAAGGTCAATAACAAAAAAGTACAGTAATTTATTGGAAATTGGTTTTTGTTTGTCGGGGGTGAGAATGGTTCTTGAAGAGGACTGTTACTTGAAAACACGTTCGTGTGTGCCAAGAACACAGCAAGCCTACACCACCCACAAAGACCGTTTTCTTCCCACCACATCGTTGCTCCATGGCATGAGAAAGCAGATGAGACCTCTCCGTTTTCTCTCTTCCTTTTTTTGTTTTGTTTTCTTGCCTAGGGTAAGTGGCGATTTTCAAGGCTAGTTAAGTATACTTTTTGTCCAGCTGTTGACTGAAGAATAGTTCTGTGTGCTTGTTCACCTCCTAGTTTCAGGGTTTTCTCCATCATGGTGTAAGGTCCATTCAGGCTCTGTCGGATATGTTTACCTGTGTGCAGGCATTCAGGTGGCCAAGTGCCAGGATAGCAGGCCCTCATCTTGAGGTCGGAGCCCCTCAAGGTGCTGTTCACAGACCCGGAAACCACCCTTTCCGCTGCAGTGAGGGCCCAGGCCCAAACTCCCAACCCTGTCCCGCTTGGCTCCCACACATCAGTGGGTCTAAACCCCATGTTTTGCACCGCTTGACCCAGCGTTGCCTCCCCAGGCAAGTTCTCACAGGCAACCTGGTCTTCCCTGCAGCTGGCTTAGCAAAGGAGGTGGTGACAGATGGGCAGGACCCAGCCAAGTGCTCACCTGAGATGTCTGCAGTGGGAGCAGTTGCCACTGCACCTGGAGCCCCCACCCCTCTCCCAGCACATCCAACATCCAAATCAATATCTTATTTCACAGAACCTGTTGTGAACATTGGAGCCCTCCTGATGTGGATTAGATGTCAGGCTGCTGACCAAAAAAGGTCTGCCAGCCACTTGGAGGGAGAAAGACAAGGCTTTCTGCTCCAGCAAAGATTTATATAGCCTTAAAAATCCAATATAGGATCGATATGAGTTCTAAATAACTCGATGGCAATAATTTTGGGTTTCCTGTTATTGTTGATGTTAAACCATACACATCTGTAATTTTTTTGTTAATGTAACCAGCCCCATTGACAGAGGTCTTCAGCCACTCTATTGGCTGAGATGATTGCTCTGAATTTAAAGTAGCTTTTAGGCTACTTCCTAGGCCAACTATAAAAAGCTACTGAACTGTGATACAGGTTATTTCCCCCACATGTAGATACCTTAAATTAATGGACCCTTGTTTCTGTCTGCAGCCTGAAACTGAACTTGAGAGGTGAGACTGTGGGCTGGTAACACTTAAAGAGCAGCAGCTAAAATCTCAGTCTAAAGTAGGCTTAGTGATGATTAAGAAAACTCTGGTACAAAAGTCCTTTGTGGTAGTTGAAATCTGTGGCATAGCTATTTTTTGTAGAAAGAAATGAAAACAGGAGTGACTAAAACTTTTGGATTTCGAATGTAGGTTAACATTGTTTAAATATATTCAGATTATGTGGTATTGTAAATGATGAGAGGGAAAAAATAAACCCACTGCAATCCAGTCTATTCCAACTTATTTCTTCTGTAGCGTTTCCAAGGCTGTAAACCTTCATAGAAGCAAATAGCCTCATTTTTCCCATGGAGCAGCTGGTGGGTTTGAACTTCCAACCTTGCAATTAGCAGCCCAGTGCTTACCAGACAGTGCCACCAGGGTTCTTATTATTGATGATGGTTTTGATTAATATACTGTCCCCTAAAAATATCAAGACAAAATGTTTACCTCTGTTCTTACTTTCACGTGTGTTTCCCTAGTCTATCATGGCAAACTGTAGAGAAAGACATTCGCCCCACCCCACCACTTAAAACCACTCAAAGCATATGTGTAGCACATTAGCAGCTTGAAACGGAATCACGTACTAGCCTAGGACTAGTTCTTTGCATGTACAATGACATATACTTTATCAGCTAAAGTTGGAGCTTACTGGGCTTCTTACCATGGCAGATTGTTTATCACCGCGGAGTCTGTTGGAGAGAGGCTGTGTGGTGACTGCTGCCAGGCCCCTCCTTGTCTCCCTTCCACAACACTCACCAAAAATTAGAGCCTTTCTAAATTTTCTCTTCAGATAATAGCTTGACTGGTGGTACTCGGGGGTGAGGATGGGGGTTAAAAATGAACTGACTTGTTTTCAACGTGAATGAATCACTCGCTCGGAAGGAGAGTTCTTAAACTCCGAGGACTCGGAATCTTTGAATGCGTGTATTTTGCTGAGAGTTTTCAGATGTACCGTATACACTCAAGGACAAACCAGCCCGAATATCAGCTGGGGCACCTCATTTAACCACAAGCACTGCATTAAAAATGTGCTGAAAAACTCGGCTTACATGAGTATATACGGTAAATTCGTGTGGCTCATTCTTAGTACAAACGGATGGGCTGTGTGCATCCCCACCTGCATCATTTAAGGAAGAATTATTTATCACATTGACACAGGGAAAAAGAAAGTGTGTATTGTTGCCTCTTTGTAGTCAGACTAGTGGCTGCTAAGCAGCAGTCCAGCTCAGACCTGTGCGGCCCCTGGGTCTCCCTCATTTACAGGTCACTTCAAAGTCTGGAGAAAGAGACTGACTGTAAGCTAAGGCATTGCCCTTCATCCTCTTATGTTCTGTCAAATGGCTCTGTTCAGGACTTTTTACATATCCTTCACAGTGAAGCACTGACTCCAGTAAGTGTTTGGTAGTTAATGAATAACAGAATCAAAGAAAATTATCAACCAGAAGTTCTGAGTTTGTTAGCTTCAGATAAATATACTGACAAAAAGTGCCTCTTGCCAGATACCTCTACTTTTTCTAACAGAAAGCTAACACTGTATTCTAAAAAGGGGCGCTGCCAAGACTTTTCGATACCTTTGGCAGGCTCCAGGAGAAAGGGATGCCTTTTAGCCCTACTGTGACAGATGAGAAACTAAAGGATACACACACTATACATATATGTATACGTATAAAAAAAAACCTGTCTGCCAGCAAGTAGTTGCAGTTGCCAGACCCGTTTGGAAGCCCTGCCTCCCAGTGTTCTGGGTGAGAGTGAGCTCGCTCTCCACTCATCTCAGATCAAATTGTCAGTCTCTGTGCAAGTCACCCACCATGAAGCATGAAGTGAGTCAGCCTTCACAGTTCCCTCTTTGTCCTTTGTTAATCACCGACTTCTGACCAGGGGGAGGTGCCTCTCAAACTTGCTAATACATCTCGTTGAATAAGGATGACGCACAGATTGTCCTAATAAGGACTTAGATTGAGAAAGGCCGGCCCCCTCTGAGAAGATGGGACAAGTGGGGAGAGGGCGGGCAGTTTCTTTTTTAACTAGGGATGACACAAGCATAAGTCATTTCCTTATTAATCGGTTCAGACCAGCTCTTACAGGAACCGGTGGTGATAAATGTGGGACTTCTCAGAAGTCATTCATTCTAATTCTTCGTGTCACGCCAGTGTGCAGCTTCAGCTCCGCCGGCCTCTCCGAGGAGGAGAAACTTCTGCTAGAAGGGGCTCTAGCCCTGAAGCTCCTTGCTGGCACCAAACACGGAGAGGCTTTTCTCCGTTAAAGGGGTGTTGAAAGAGAGGATTTTTCAGAGCTTTCATAAAAAGGGGTCACAGAATCTTGCCAGCTCTCCTGAATATTGTATTTTATCCCTTCTCCTCTACAACCTCTGCTTTTTTTTTTTTTTTTTTAAAGACCAGGCGGTAAGTGAATTTTCTTTGATGAACTTTCTACTTTTCTCCCCAAATGTCTCTTCTTCCTTGGGCCACTGCACCCTGTCTCCAGTGCTGTCCCTGGCATAGGTCCTTCTCTGCAGAAGCCATTCCAGGAATACCTGGAAGCTCAGCGGCAAAAACTTCACCACAAAAGTGAAATGGGCACCTCACAGGTGAGACCTTGTTTCATTCCCTCCTCCCTGCCCCCAACCCCTGAGCAGTTTCAGGTGAAAAGACTTTCCTTTGAGTTTGTGGGCTGATAGGAGTGAGTTTTGCTCATCCCCTGACTTTTTCTGAGCCTGGCTCGCTTTACTCTCTGTTGGGAGCCTTAGTCTTAAAAAAAACCAGGTTGGGTTTGGGGCTTCTTCTCCAAATAAAGCGAGGATCAATGGGAAAGACTGCTAAATAGAATAACCTATTGCTTTGACCTTAGGTGATAAACTAGCGGATGTGAAATTACTTAGGTTTCAGGACATACTCCCCAACGAGATTTAAATTTTGTATTTACAACACAACAAAATATTGAACTTCCTGAAATCACTTGAATATCACCTTTCATCTTCGATTTACTTTTCTTTGGGGAAAAGGGAGGATAATCAAGTTTATGAACCAAGGCACTTAACATAGCTGAGCTTAAAAAATCCTAACTGAGACCCTCAGGCTGGGGGGTGGGGGGAGGGGGGCCGCGACTGACTAGCACCAGAAGCTGGGAAAGCAGTGGCATGGCATAGGGAATCAGAAGGAAGCACAGTTGTGTGTGTGTGTGTTTAAGCTCTTTACATGGCTACTACTGCCATCAGTTGACCCAATAACGATTTCAGAAATCGTACTTTGAAGGTCGTTCGCAAGACTGAAGCTCAAAAGAAAGAAAAATCTCTGATCCCCACTTTGCCAGAATCTGCTACTTGATTCTAGGGATTTAATCAGTGACTTTTTTCTGCCATAGTAAAAGGCAAGAAATGCTCTCCAACTTGTTCCATTCTAAAATGGCTTTATGTCCCGCATAGTGAGATCTTGATAGTGACGTGAATGGGGCCTCGTGTGCTTTTCGGGGCAGGATGCGGACGCAGCCTTTTTGTTCTTAAGTTCCCTACACCCGTGTCTCCCAGAGTGGGTGATACCAGCTCCCTGGGGGTTGCTGCAGAAGCAGATACATAAGCTTTATCCGGGATTGTGGGCTGTTACAATACAAAAGTTTTTAATTTTCAGGGTGGTGCTGAATAAATTTTTTTTTAATTTTCTGAAAAGAACAATAGGCCAAAAAATGTTGCAGGATCCGTTTTCTTTTCCTGAACTCATCATAGATGCCCCCCCCCCCCTTTGGCTACTGAACTAATGAAACCTTTCTTGTCGGATTGCTCTACATTTTCTTTTCTTGCAGGGAGAAAACTGGTTGTCCTGGATGTTTGAGAAGTTGGTGGTAGTCATGGTGTGTTACTTCATCCTGTCCATCATTAACTCCATGGCACAAAGCTATGCCAAACGAATCCAACAGCGGTTGAACTCCGAGGAAAAAACAAAATAAGCAGAGAAAAATTTTAACTGCAGAAATTAGAGTGGATGAGTCCTGCCTTAAACTGGGAGGACTCCAGACCAGGAAGGAAAATGCTCCTTTCCAGCCTCTATCAGTTTTTAAAAGCCGTTTAGTCCATATTTTGCACTGACATAACTTTTCCTTTGTTTTTTTAAGGTAAGGTATCCGCCCTAAGTCAATCCAAGTTGTATTTTATTAGGGTGGAGTGTGATGTTCAGCAGCAAACCTAACAGAAACTGGCCTTCTGTCCCCTCCTTTAAAAAGGCCCACATAGTACAATTAGAGACTTCCCACCACCCCACCTGCAAAGTTCATACGTCGTATGTCAGGCTTTTTAGCTTGTCCAGTGATTGCTTTCCTTTTTCTGATGCATCAAAATGTATATAAATTAGATTGGTTAACAGTCTTGCATGTCTATCATGGTAAAATTTAATATGCCATCCTGCCCAACCTTCCCCTCCCACCCTCAAAAAAAGGCCATTTTATGATGCATTGCACACCCTCTGGGGAAACTGATCTTTAAATTTTGAAACAGTATAAGGAAAATCTGGTTGGTGTCTCACAAATGAGCTGACGCCATTTTTTTATTCTGTATATTTAGAATGAAGTCAAGAAAAAACTTTATAAAGACATCTTTGATCATTCCAAAATCGTGTCCGGTTTGATTTTTCACTTCCTTAGCTTCTACTAGCTGAATGACAGCCTTGCTAAGTCCACTTCCAATAAGGATTTCGTAATCCCCTATATGCATGGAAGAGGCAGCACCAGTGGCAACTTTTGTGGTGGAATTAGGCAGCTGTACACTGCTGCTGTGGTGGCAGCCTGTGGAAGTGGCCTACAAGCGGGGATTTCTGTTTCTGAAAACATCGGAGAAGTCCATTAATTTTCATTAAAATTAATAGCTCAATGTGTACTCTTAATTTTAACAGGCATAGAAATTTACTTTTATAACCCTTTTTCTTGCCTTTTTGTGTTTCATACGTATGTGCTATGTGATTTCTCTCTCCTTTGGCATGTTACCACCGGTTGAACCTAGTCATTTTTATTTGCTTGGGAAGAAAATAACAATTTCAGTTTTTTCCTTAGGAAAATTGAGACCAGCATTGGGTGGAGAATAGAACGGTATTTCAAAGGGCAGCACTGCCCCGTGTGTTCAATCCAGTCCTCCCTCCGTGTCTGTTTGCCTCCCATCGTGACATCTGCATGGCTGTACCAACTTGTCGGGTAGCTTATCAGACTGATGTTGACTGGTGAATCTCATGGCAACAGCAGTCGATGGGCTGTCTGACATCTTGGTATCTCTCATCTGACCATCCATATCAAATGTTGCCATTTTTCAAACATTACACAGCATCGTGGTGTAGGATGAAAAGCCCCTATGTCTGCTGGCACTTGGTGTCACACTATGGCAGCAGCTTCGAGAGAGAACTGTGGAAAATGGGGACAGCGTCCATGACTCCAAATAAATAAAGGAAACGTTACCTACCGTTGTGAAAGGACACGTAGCTTGCCTTGAGGGTTTTGAAAAAGTGATTGCTTTCTTAACCACCTTTCTTTGTCCCCACCAAGGACTCAGCATCTGGCTGCTACTTGACGTAACTTTAAAGCTGTATCAAGTGCTTTATTGCAGTAAATTCATTTTAACCACTGATCTTCAGATCCCTCCGCGTTCTTTGCATAGTGTAATAAGTTTCTGATCAGCTTCTAGTTGTCACGTTTCATCTCCTTCACCTGCACTTTATTTGGTTTTGTCCTGAAGAAAGAGGAAAACAAATATGAATTGTACTGTTTCCACGAAATCTTTGGGCTTCATTGGTGCATCTCTTTTTAGGTTAGAGTGCTCGGAAAAAAAACTTTGTTTCCCAAACTGAAGGTCTAAGATCAGTGCATTTGACTTATAATTTACTCATTTGTTTACTATCTTTCCAATGGGTTTGTTTTAAAAACAAATTGTGAGCAATTCTTCCTTTCTTCCATTAAGTGTCCCAGTGAATAAACTCCAGCCGGTGCTTTCCCACCTCACACTTACTTACTGAGTTGATCCCAGGACATTTGCAACTGTGTGGCTTTACATCTCTGCAAATAAAAGGGTGGAAGGGGGGCTGGGAGTTATTTTTGTACTTCTACTTTGTATAAATTTAACCTTGTGCCTTAAACGTCTGCCATGTTTCTATCGTGCCCACCTCCGTGACCACCAAGCAGTCCACCACAACGACCCCTGTATACGCTTTACCCACGGAGGCGCTTCCCCTGCAGTGCAGTTACCACAACGTGAGCACGTGCCGGGCCCATTTTCCCACCATTTTCACTGTGTATACAGAACTGGGGAGGATGGTGAGGCTGATTTGAAAGAAAATGAGACTGGCCTCGTTTGGATAATGGCCACCTAGCCCCATTCACTTTCAGAGACCAGAAACTGACAAGGCAAATACATCAAGTTTCTTAAAATATACTAGTTAATTAAGCAGATGTAGCACTTGCTCCTACACAAGTTCATCTGTGCCCCAGACGCTCTTTCACAGAGCAGCATGACTGTGTTTTCACTGATCATTTGAGTCAACAGTGACTAGTTGAGGGCGTACCGTAAGCCACAGAAAATACTGATGGCTTCCTCCACACGGAGAGAAGGAGCCCCTGGTGGCTCAAAGAGCTCACTTGCTAATCAGAAGGATGGTGATTGGGGTCTGTTGAGGTGTGAGTCCGGAAAGACAGCTGTAGAAATCCCAGTGTCACATAGTTCTCTGACACCCAGGGGGTCCTGAGTCCGGGCCCAGGAAGCCAGTGTTCACCCTGGGGTGATGTGTCAGTTGTCCCGCATTTCAAAGCCCATTTGCCTCCATGTTGATGATCTAGATGTCTTCTATTTATGTGACCTTCAGAAATGATTCATCTATAAAAATGGAGAGATGCCGACAAGTTGTCTTGAGGTTAAATCAGATAATAAAATAGTACAAAGTTTCCATTTAAATTCATGAAAAAGACTGATAATCATGTAATAATGTGACAGTGTATTCATTCCGGAAAACAAAGATGGTTTAATCTCTCAGCATATCATCCTTGTTTGGGGTTAGATACTATATTCTCTGTCACACGTGTAGACTAAGTAAAAAAGTTAGAAGAAAAGTTAACAGTTGTTGATAAGACCGAAAGCTGCTTTTTTTTTTTTTT